GGAGACAAGCGGGGGCTTTGTGGGGACGGCGGGGAGGGACAGGGCAGGGGCGCGGGCTCAATGGGGGATTGTCCGCCCGGGGAGCCCAGCGCTCCGCCGACGCGGGTCTCTGTGGGGCCATTGTCCGGCCAGGCCGTACGTGGCCCCATCCCATGAAGGCGACTATTATCCTCCAAGCTGGCCGCTAAACAATGGGGCCGGAGGGTGTTTTCTATTATTGTTCTTTTGTTTGCACGTTTGAAAAGCGGCCTCAGTTACTGCAAGCACCAGCAGCTGCCTTCAGCGAAATAGCTGGACTGCCCCTCGCTCGGCACAGGGGGCCCGGCCGCAGGAACGGCGAGGCCAGCCCGGCCCAGCCCTGCCCGTCCCTGCTCAGGCCGAACGTCCCCCTTGGCATGCAGGACACTTACACTGCGAGGAGGAGCAGCTCTCGGCCGTGGCTCACGTCACCTGCTTCCTCTCGTACGATGACCTGGGAGCCCCGAATCCACGGGGAAGCCGACGCAGGGGTCCCAGGAGAGCTGTGTGGTCCTCGCTCTTCTCAGAGGCCCGTTCATTCCTGCTGCAGGAACTCCACACCGGTTTCGGGAGCGGGCACGGCTGCCCCGGCGTGCTGGGGGCCCACCGTCCCGGTGTGCTGCGCAGTAGCTGACCCCAGGGCAGGCAGCGCTCCCTGCCCGACACGTCCATTGAAGCAGTGGGGGTCCTGGTCCCAGGGTGCTTTGGAACCAAAACCCACTGCCAAATTCTGGAATAAGGGATAGAAGAGTTAATCAACTGAATAGTTGTTTTTTAAACAATGTCTTCACCCTGCAAACAGGAAAGCTGTATTTTTGTGCTATGGGCAGAGCATTTATGCATTATATAAAACCCCTCGATTTTTGCGTCAGAGGCAAAACTTCTTCAGCATCGCTCCCGTGGCTGCTGGCACAGCATCCAGCTCCAGAGCAGGTGCTGGTCACGGGCTGGGCGAGGACACGGCCGGGGAGGGAAGGTGGAGAGTTCGCATATTGACCCCAAAACCAGCAGCTGCCCCGTTGATACTATTGAAAACTCACGCGGTTGGAGAAAGCCCTCGTTTCCTTCCAGTCCCGTGTTTTCCCAGGCCCTGCTGGGAACCAGTCTGGGATTCCAGTTACCGGAGCTGCTGGCAGGAGGGGAGGGAGAGCCAGTGCCAGCTCCCCAGCAGCGCTTTTCCCGGCTCTCTTGCTGCTGCCAAAAGCGAGCATTTCTTTCGGTGCTCGGAGGGCTGGTTTCACTTTCGTGTTCAGCTCAGCAGCTGCTGGGGGGGGGGGGGGGGGGTGTTGTCTTTTCTGGAAGCAATTTCAGTTGCTCTTCATCACAAGAGGAGCCCCAATTCCCTCCTCTGAGGCATTCGGGGTGCTGATCTTCAGTACAGCATGAAGAAATGGCAGCTCTTAACGTGAGAGACAGCATCCTCGCAGACTTCACTCAGAAACAGCCTTTCCTATGGGGACGGAGGATCCCTAAACAGACTTAAATCCCTTTGCAGTCGTCTTTATTCAGATGAAGCGATGAGATGGCAGCAGCTGTCACAACCTGCTGGGACTTTTGTTTCCCGTTTTCAGGGGGAGTTCCCCACAGCGTGCTGCACCCTTGTTATCTAGTAGCCACAAGTGTTTCGTTAAGCGTTCAGAAACAAATCTGACACTTGACGTGCTCTGCCCGGGCTGTAGCTTTGTGGCAGCTCGTGGTGCCTGTGAAACTGCAGCTGCTGCCACGTGACGGGTAAAACTTCCCCTTCCTGGTCAGGCAGGACCGCAGCTGCCGAGGCCGGAGCCGCACCTTCAGCTCCTCAGGTCAGACGGCCGGTGCTGGTGCCGGGGGGGTGGTGGGACAGGGCGCGGGTCCCTGCTGTGAGACCAGCTGGGGTAGCTGTGAGAGGCGGGTGAGAGGCGGTTTAAGAGCCAAGCAGCAGCTGAGGTTAGGGGACGTGCGGGCAGCGATGTTCCCGGTGCCCCCCTCCTCCCAGTAAAAGTTCTCAACAGTGTGTGCTTGCGCAGTCGGAACTTAAGCCAAGCAGGGCAGCTGAGGTTAGGGGACGTGCGGGCAGCGATGTTCCCGGCGCCCCCCCTCCTCCCAGTAAAGGTTCTCAACAGTGTGTGCTTGCGCAGTCGGAACATGCGGTCTCTTGGGGTTGCTAGCCTGCAAAATATTTTCTTCTTGCATTTCAGAACAGAGGCTTCTCAAAGAAGAGTCACACATTCCTGCCTAAAATATTTAGAAAAATGTCTACTCAATCAGCGAAAGAAAGACCCGAAAGCTTGCAGTTCCCTTTCCTTGACGATGAAGATACCATCTCCACAGTCAAAGAATCTAAAACCTTTTTTATTTTAAGAGGCCTGCCTGGCAGCGGGAAGTCCACCCTTGCCCAGGCTATTCAAGATAGGTATAAAGATGCCTGCAAGGTCATCTCTGTTGATAGCTATAAAATTACACCTTTAATAAGAAGCACCATTCCTGAAGAGTATTCAAAGGTGGATGAGGATCTAGTTGACTATTGCAAACGAGATACCAGCGTTATCGTTTTGGATGACACTCACCATGAGAGGGAACGACTGGACCAACTCTTTGATATTGCTGACAAATACCGGTACAAAGTCATCTTTGCTGAGCCCAAAACCCACTGGCGAATGGATTGCTTGCAGCTGAAGGAAAAGAATCAGTGGAAACTGTCAGTGGAAGAGCTGAAGAAGATGAAGCCGAGCTTGGAGAAGGAATTCCTACCCATGTATTTTGGGTGGTTTTTGAGCAAAAGAAGTTCAGAGATCCTGAGGAAGGCTGGCCAGGCCTTCTTAGATGAGCTTGGAAGTCTCAAAGCCTTCAAAAAGGAGAGTAAATACTGTATGTATAGAAGTATCTTACCAAGTTCTTACTCTGTTGATGAAAAGTTAACGCTCAGTAAATGCAACAAGTTTGGTCAGCTTCTAAAGTGGATTTCTAGTTAAAGTTAGCAACAAGAAAAACTGTTTAAAGCTACTAATCTGTTTCCCGTAGTTGACAAAGTTGCTGTTGTAAGTAAAAATAAATGAAACAGTTTTTCCTAAGAAGTCTATTTAGCTGCGACACTGGAGGGAGCTGGGCTTGGATGGCAGCAGCGTTACATCAGGTGGCTGGGCATCCCCTGGTTGCTGCAGTGAGTCAGAGAGAAAAGGGAAAGACTGAACAGTCTTGTCCCTTAAGGGATTCGTACAACATCAAGGCTAAGACGAGCCATGATGATGCGCAGAGGTTCCTGTCTTCTAGTTACATCCACTGTTAGCCTCGGTGGAAGGAGGAGTTTTACTTACCCATCTAGTGCTCTTCAGCAGTAAGAAAGATGAAACATGAAGGACGGGTTGGTGAAGAAAGCTGAGACGGGACTTAGGCTCATGGGGTGACATCAGGGGGATCATTTTTTGATGATAATATTGTTTCTCTGTATTTGCAGTTGCTTCTGCTATTGAAGATCCCAAAATAAAAATAGATCTCACCAGCTACTTTGTGAAGAGGCCGCCCGGGGTCCTACACTGCACCACAAAATACACAGAGTTTGGAAAAGCAGCTGGAGCTGAGGAATACGCACAGCAAGAAGTGAGTACCAGGGCTCTGTCTCCCTCCCCCTTCCCAGCAGGGGATCCACAAGCCTCTCGGGGTGGGCTGGGGACACTGCTTTGCTTGGAGCAGAGAGGCCGAACGTAGGGACACTAAGTACATCCATGTGGCCCGTGCAATAGAAAAGTCTCAACTGTGGGAGAGATGGTGACTATTTCCTGTTAGTTTTCAAACAAAATACTCCTACCCCATCCCCATCACCCCCGACTTCCAGCAGCATCTCCAATAGCTTGATTTGAATGATGATGAATTAAGGTATTTACACTTCCAGCTAAATCATTTCAAAGCAGATGAGCCCAAGTTAAATAGTGGAATTTGCGAAGGGAAAAAGATGTAACCAGCTCCAAATTCACGGAGCAGGAACTTCAGGCCATGGTCTTCTAGCTGCACACAGTATTTCAAATATGTCAAAGCAAGAGCTACCGTGATCAGCCAAGACCCTGAGCTTGTGGACGATAAAGCCAACCACACTGCTGCAAGTCCCACCTGTCTGCAGTCAGTTAAAGCCGTGTTCTCGCCTTGTCTCCCTCTTCCCCCAGGCTGTGAAGGCTTCCTACAGCAAAGGCTTCACCTTGTCCATTTCTGCTCTGTTCATCACAACAAAAACTGTTGGTGCTCGTGTAGAGCTGAGCGAACAGCAGCTGCTGCTGTGGCCTGGAGATGCCGATAAGATCCTGCCCGCCGACAACCTCCCAAAAGGCAGCCGGGCTCACATCACCCTCGGCTGCGCCAACGGTGTCGAAGCAGTCCAGACTGGGCTCGATCTGCTGGAGTTTGTGAAACTGGAAAAGGCAGGGAACAAAGGGGATGAAGTGGGGGAAATTGGAGGAGGGAAACTGCTGTATTTTGATAATGGTATGTGGATGCTCATCCTTTCTAAAAAGATCGATGTGAAGGCGATATTCTCAGGTTACTATGGAAAAGGAAAACTTGTGCCAACGCAGAGCACCAACAAACGGGGCTCTGCTTTTAGTTCCTGCACCATCATCTAGGAGCATGGGCAGAGTAGCTTGTTTGTTTGTTTTTAAAAGGCAAGTAACTCCTGTAACCTTTAAAAGTGTAAAGAGAAATAATTCTACCTTTACTAAAGTAAGCCCTTTTGCCAACCCCAGTGTAAAGCCTCTCTGGGGAGAGAGTTTATTGGCCTCAGAACAAGGAAGAAAACAAGCAACTCTTGACTGACAAAGGAAAACTGTCACATAACTGATGTCAATAACTGAAGTGCTGCTGAGTGCGTTTTAAAGGAGGAGTTTTGGAGAGAACTAGCCATGGTGGTCTGCTTGTTTTCTTCCTCGGAGGAAGATCTCCTATGGTCTTTTATAACTTCCCTACGAACCACAATCGTTAGATCTTTACACGTCAGCACTATAAGCAGTGGCAGACCAAAGCCTGTACGTAACTGGTCTGAAGCCAAGTGAAGTGAACTGCGTAACGTCTCTCCCCTTCTCCCACACCCGAGGGACTGACATCAGTCATTCTGGTAGCTGAATTACCGGGTCAAAACCGGCAAGACTCAATTGTGGATCGTTTCTGTCAAGCGTGGCAGTTACTAATCGTTTAGCCCACAAGAAGAGAACTTGCAGAGGGCAGCAGGGTGTCTAACAGCCTTGATCAGAGGTCAGTCCTGCAGCCCTGTAGCCAGCCAGCCACGCTCTACCCCAATTCGGGTCCTGCAGCCCTGTAGCCAGCCAGCCAGCCACGCTCTACCCCAATTCGTGTTTGCATGCGCAGGCTTCCTTCATTGCAGGGAAGACACATGCTGGTGAGCGGACAGAAGGAAAGCACCTTGCCAGATGATGTCTTAAAGAGCTATCATGGACTTAAAAAAAACCATCACAGAAAGGGAAACAAGTGAAATACCAGGAGAGGCGTTCAGTTCCTGTAGCATGGCTCCAGCCATTTCACTTCACAAGTCAGTGGGCCGGACGAAGCACTGTCCCGTGTCCTTGTCCTGTAGGGAACAATCCTGCCTTGGCAGGGAGTGGAAGAGATGAACTAACATCTCTTCCATCTTATTTTACAGAAACTAAAATCATGTCTGAAGTATAGAACTGTACTTCATGCAAGATTTTACTACTTTTCTCTAATGCACTTGAATGTTAAAAGCTAGGATGGCAGTAACATTGTAATTTAGGAAGTAAGTGGAGGTATCGTAACTGCGTAACTTAAGTCTGCTCAAACCTAAACCATTGGCTGGAAAAATAGTTAATGATCAAGCACTTCTGTTATTAAGTCTGTTTTATTGAAACTTATGGTTTTGCTCTTAGCCAGACCGTCTGCCAGTTGGTCAGTGGATACGTGGTCACTACTTTACTGTTACACAAAGCTCAACTAATGGATTCAGGTCAGGGCAACAGCTTAAACTCATGCTATGGCTCAGTGTTTGGTGAACTGCATAGTGAAATTAATCCCGTATTAATATATGTAAATACTTACTGTGTTTGAGAAGCGTGTGCTGGGCTCGTATCTGTAAAGGAGCTGTCGTGTGGGCAGAGCTTACCTGTAGCTGGGTGCGCACTGAAACCGTTGCTTGGGAAGCCCAATGCTGCCTGTGCAAGCAGCTTTTCTCCTCGGAATGCTTAAAACAGAAGCAAGGAGTGCTTTGGGGCTGATCTGGTAAACACTCCGCAGGTTTACCAATAAAGCAAAATACTTCCTGCTGTTTCAGAAAGATGGATGACGATAAATTCTCATTATGACATTAAAAAAATTATATATACACACTCCCATAGCACCTGTGATCCTCCCTTACCTTCAGAGAAACCCTTGCTAGCTTCTGCAGCAGCAGAGGGGCGAGTGCCCGATACTCAGCTTGGGCCTTTCCTAACTGAAATCTCACACGGGTTTGTTCCATCAAAACTTTAAAAACGCATTTACCAGCGTCTGCCCAGGACAGCTCCTGTGGGAGCACAGGAGCACGCCGACCCCCTCTCCCTCCGGTGCCCTGGGAACAACCCAATGCTCCAGATCACATCCAGCACTGAAACGCACAGCTGGAATAGCTTGTTTATTTGCCTGTTCAAGAACAACAGTGAGACTGTCGTCATTTAAGTTTTTATTAGTTTGTACATCATATACAGTTTATAATAAAGTAAACCAATTGCATATGGTTTTGCTTCAGTCTGTGATATTCTTCATATAAACACATCATTATGAATTATGCCTAATGAAGTAAACAACAAATATTCACATTTTTACCATTCACATCCTAGAAAGGTAAGGGTCCAAAGAGGGACAGTGCTCATACCGACGTGAAGCCTGTCTTAGAGAGGATGACGTGTTTGGCAAAGCGATGGGGATAGTGATTGCTCCATGCGATATGCCTTTCCTCCCACTGGAAAGGTTAAGATATTTACACTGAGGTAAACATTCAGAATTTCGATTCAGATAAATACTGCAGCACAGGGTCTAGCGTCCTCTCCAAGTTGGCTTCACATCGGCGTCTGGTTTTGTCTTGACTACTCCTTAATGTCGTTACAACAAAGCAGATATGCATGCAATGAAGGTGCTCGGTTTGCTGTTTCGCACTCAACCCCTCCAACATTGCTTCACGCGATTTTCTCTTTTGAAGCGTGAGCTATTGAGTGAAAGCAGGGAGGAAGATGGGGTAGTCGACGTGAGATCGGCTATGCCAGAACTGCAGCCAAGCTGCACACCCAGCCAGAGGCAGCATCCCAGTTCTCCCACCAAACTCCTGCCTTCCCGAGCCACCCCGATGGTGCCAAAGCTCTAGCTCAGTAACGCCGCTGCAGACGATGCCTCATCTCGGCACCCTGCTCACATTCCGTACCAGAGCTTTCCTTCAGAGGTCGGATCTATGCTAGAGTGAAAACTTGCCTAGCACTACTCAAAGAAGAAAGGATCGTCCTGTCCCTGACTCTGCAGGAGCGGGGAAAGCCAGGGTACGTCGGGGAAGGCCAAAGCATTACGCATCGTCTTTCAAAGCCAAGCACAGGTCCTGCTGCCCCGGTAAGCAGGGACAATAGGGACATCTCCAGAACACAGTACGGCTGCGTGTGAGCGGCCTCCAGCAGAACGCAGGGTCACAGAACCGCTGCGATCCAGTCTGCCACCTTTCAGCCTTAGTTACAGCACTACTGCCACAGCCCGAGATGGACCTCAGCGCTGCTCGGAGAAACTCGGGTAGGTGCAACACACGAGCTGTCCTTTCTCCCTAAGAAAGGGGAGGGGAGGGTACAAGGCACAAATTTAAACGGGATGAAAACCATCCACTTGAAGATAAGTGAGTATCTTTAGTCATTACTGAAACTGAGGAAGTAATTTTGAAAGAAGAGCAAACCACCGTGTGGTCCAAATGCTTTGGTCATTCAATTGGTTGAAGAACGATTCGGCTGAGCGCAGCCCTCCAGCACGCGGCCGGCTCGGAGACCAGCGCTGGCGGGTGGGCACAAGAGCTGAGCCAGTTTCCGTATCGGAAGCGAAACAATAGCACAGCAGCTTTCACTCTGTACCCCCGCCAGAGACAGAAAGCTGAGGGACTTGCAATATTCCATGGATAATAATACTGTTGTCCCTAAACATTTTTTTTCTTTCTCCTTTTCTTTTTTCCCCAATTTGCATTAATGTATTTACAAAACAGTCAGAAGCCTTTAGCACTAAGGATCCAGCTTTACAGCAACACTTCCAAGTTCACAAATGAAACCATGTACTTTCCTATGTAGCACGTGTAGCCGAAACAACAAACAGCCTGTCAAAGTCAGCAGCCAGAAGCATCGTAATGGTCTTTACAGCTGATTGCAAGTCCAGGTTCAGTGTATCTGGAAAGGACTCTCTGAATACTCCCCTGCAAAAGGTGGAGCTGACACAGCACCAGATTTGTAAAGTAAATCCACACAAGAAAAAACACACCAGGCTTTGTGGTCCAGAGGTCAGACCATTGTACATGCAAGTATCTCCCACACACTAACATTACTGATGCACGTTTTCATTTTTAAAGCACGAAATTGCTTCCATTTTAATTTGAAACCATCCCTACAGCAGCTCAGACACCACAGGTATCATGATCAGGCAAAAAAAACATCAGAGGGAAAGCGTAAGAGTCAAACAATTCCTTATCTCCTTGTAAACGCTATAGAGTCACGACAACAGAGCCTCCCTTCACACGCTTGGTCTGCCGAGAGCCACGCTCCCCACACGCACACAGTATTTCCTGTAGTTTACAACTTTCACGGAGGAAGCCGACAGCTACTCCGTCAGTTACCGAGCTGTTCAATAGCAACTACTTCCATCACGTCTGCTAACAGATCCTCCCCTTACGCGCCAGCCTGGTCTGGCTTTCAGCCACGTCAGCTCTGCTACCTCTGGGTACTTCCCGACAGCAGGAGCTCTCACGGCACCAACAATTCCCCTTCGGAAACACCGCGCAGGAGCTGGCAGGCCGAGGGGCAAACGTGCACCACGCGGCAAAAGCTGCTCGGCATCTGTATTTTGGGCTGTTCACCAGGCAGAGCAGGGCACAAGGGATTCTGCACGTGGAACGGCCTGGAGGCATGCTTAGGTACATTTCAGGGTTAGGTATTAAGGCTCTTGCTGTTAGGCCAAAAAATAAACCTTTCAATAACTACAAAGACCGACTTCCAGAAAGAGAACTCCCTTCATTGAAAGGAAGGGCTTTACCATCGGTGTCTTCCACCTGCCGAGTTCACGTGGTGGCCTACGGTCACACCAAAGGGAACAGTACGCTGCTAAATAAGGCTCGATGCATGTATATCCCACTGTGCTTGTGCTATCACCTACAGCAACCGCCTCCTATCACCTTCATCAGCTCTTTATCATTCTAGAAAAAGCACAGGCATAATATCACTTTAAGATACTTATTCATTATCTCTGTGGCAAATTCCTATGTCTGGTAGCTCCTATCGAGCCGAAGGAAGCCAGGGAGGTCTGCAGAGTGGTAGCAGCTAGAAAAATGGCACTAAGGTTCCCTGTGGCTATATACAAAATACAACCCATGAATAATGTTCTGGAACTACCAAGTGTGAAAGGCAACATTTCAAGCAATGCACATCTAAGCAGATTTTTCTGAAAGGAACAGAGTCCCGTGTCTCCAAGCCGTGCTAGGACACGACGGAGGTTACAATGCCACCGCACCTCTATCTCCAGGCACTGCTGCTGCTGTCCTGAGGTAACGGGAGTCACTGAACGCCATTCAAACCCCAGTGCTCTGTGCAGAAGGGAACACGTGTTCGCCTTCGCTTTGAATCACATAATAACGCTCCTTAGAAAAGTCTTGGCACTCACCATATTAATATTTAACTACATTAAATCATGCATTCATGTACAGTTTTATAAATATCTGCTGTATACATTTTTCTCTCTCAGAAGAAAAGCCATTCCACTTCTGTCGTCCAAGGAATGGTCTCATTCAAAGTTTGGAGAGAAGGAAGCCTGTCGTACTTAACTGGGGGGAGGGGGAAATAATAATAATAAAACCCACTGACAAATGCAGAACACGTCCCTGCGTGGCGATAAAAGACTGAGAAAAGTCCAAACTGTACAGTAATATCAATACACACAAGACAAGACATTATGAATCCAGAATGCCACACTGAAACAAGTCCTGTAAACTCTGATTTACAAGTGCCATGAGAACTGGAGAAGTATCAATATGCATAGACCAGTATTTCAATTCCTCAGGTATTT